AAAAAAAAAAAAAAAAAAAAAAAAAAAAAAAAGAAAAGAAAAGAAATGGCCAATTCAAGATCACCACAGCCTCAGGACTCACTTGAGCTGCATTTCGATATTAAGGCTGTGTAAGAAGTTCCCTCCAAAGGCAAGGCAGTCCACAGGGGTCAGCACAGCATGGATCCATCCTGCAGGGCAACAAAGCAAAATCATAGCTGGCAGAGGGCCTTTCTTCTTCTGGACATCACTGCCCACTCAGTTCAACCTCAACTCCTTAAGACCAGTTGGCCTGGCAGTGACTCAGAACATTTTTAGTTCTTCCAGTATCCCAACACCCAACCTGGCCTAATGTGCCATGCCATCATTATAACCTGAACTGGACCAATGTATGGGGTTAATAAACTTCTTCCACTTCCCTCCTCTCCACTTCAAAATCTTTCTGTTGCCTTACCTATCCTCTTTTCTCTTGGAAAGGCATCACCTCCCTGCCATAATTACTCCTTCTAACTCTACCCTGAGTAAAACAAAAAGAGCTTCTGTGTGAGATCTGGGTTCTAATTACCCATGGTCAACTGCAGTCCAAAAATATTAAATGGAAAATTCCAGAAATAAACAATTCACAAGTATTAAATTGTGCACCATTCTGAGTAGCATGATGAAATTTGGCGCCATCCCACTCTGTCCTGCCCAGAACGTAGATCATCTCTCTGTCCAGCAGATCCATGCTGTACAAGCTACCTGCCCATTAGTCACTTAGTAGCCATCTCAGTTATCAGATCAACTATCATGGTATCACAGGATGTGTGTTCAAGTGATCTTTATTATACCTAATAATGGCCCCAAAACACAAGAGTAGTGATGCTGGCAACTCAGATATGCCAAAGAGAAGCCATAAAGTGCTTCCCTTAAATGAAAAGGTGAAAGTTCTCAACTTAGGGAAAAAAATCTTTTAAGTAACCAAGCTGCTTATCTTCCACCAGAGTGCTTTGTAAACAAGGATCTATAAAAACCACATTTAAACACTGTTGCATGTCATAATAGAAAGTGGCACTTTGCTAACCTAAAACTTGCAACAGAATATCAATAGCAGCTTTATAAGACTCAGGAGGAAAAACTGGTTTCAGAGTTGGAAGATTGTTGTAAGCCACTCCTTTTTATGTCATTTAGAGACTAAAGAATTGCAAGGCTGCCCATTGGCGAGTCGTACAAATTAAAATTATATTTCCTTCCATGCATGAAAAAAAAAGAAAGAAAAAAATCATATGCCGAGGTTGCTAAGATCTATGGTGAGAATAAATCTCCTATCCTTGAAATTGTGAGGAAGAAAAATGAAATTCATGCATGGTGTATGTAGAGTTTGGTACTATCTGTCGTTTCAGGATTCCACTAGTCCTGGGACGTATGCCCCATGGATAAGGGGGACTACTGTACTTTACAAGTGGTTGTGAAGCACGTACCCAGCTAGAACTCAATTATTCCCCTTGCCCTTGTACCTTCTGGGACTTTTCTGATTTTTCTTCTTAAATCTCTCTCTCCTTATGTTAAGTGAAATAAACCAGGCACTGAAAGAGAAATACTGCATGTTCTCACTCATACGTGGAAGCTAAAAAAGTTGATCTCATAGAAAGAGAGTAGAATAGCAGTTACTAGAGACTGGCAAGGGGAGAGGGGTGGGAGGCAGGGGGCGACGGTGGTCAATGGATACAAAATTGTAGCAAGATAGGAGGAATAAGATCTAGTGTTCTATAGCACTGTAGGGTGACTACAGTCAAAAACAAATTACTGTATAACTTCAAATAGCTAGTAGAGAGGATGCTGAATGTTCCCAACACAAAGAGGCAACAAATGTTTGAGGTGACAAATAGGCTAATTACCTTTATATGATCATTGCACACTGTGTACATTTACCCAAATATCACATTATACTCCATAAATACATATAATTACCATGGGACAATTAAGAAAAATTAAAAAAAAAAAAAATTTCAGAGACAGAAGTGGATTAGAGGTTACCAGAAATTAGGGGGAAGGAATAATGGGAAGTTATCACTTAATGGGTACAGAGTTTATGTTTAGGATGATGAAAAAGTTTTAGAAATAGAGGACACAGCATTGTGAATGTAATTAATTCCACAGAATTGTACATTTAAAAATGGTCAAAATGGCAAAGTTTATGTTATATATATTTTACCACAATAAAAAAAAAAGAAAAAAGAAATCTTCCTCCTTCCCCCTCCATCCATCCTACCAATGCCTTGGTTCAGACCCCTCACTATCTCTCATCTAGGCTACTGCAAACTGGCTCCTCTACAACAACTATTTTCAGTGTGTGGTCCAGGAAACCCTTGGGCTCCCTGACATTCTTTCAGAGCATATGAGAGGCCAAAATTATGCTCATAACAGCATTAAGATGTTCTTTGCCTTTTTCACCCTCATTCTCTCAAGGGTGTGCAGTGGGGTTGTCCAGAGGGTACAGGACATAATATCAAACAGACTGAATGCAAAAGCACACCTGAGAATTCAGCCATTTTCTATTAACCCAGACATTAAATGTTTTTCACTTAAAAAGTTATTTTTCATAAAAAACTTTTTTATGCTAACATGTAATGGGTTTACTATTATTTCTCAATGAATTAATAAGTATTTTTAAATTTTCTGTTTTAATTTCTATGATAAATATTGATAAATATAACCCACATAAATAAAGGCTCTTTTGGGTCCTCAATAATTCTTAAGAGTATAAAGGAGTGAGTACAAAGTGTTTACAAACACTGCTCTACACTCATCTCAAATCTATCTTCTATATCTGATCCTAAGTGATATGTCTAAAATACAAATCCTGCTCAAAATTCTTCAATGAGAAGACATAAATAACAAATGGAAATTTTAGAACTGAAAAATGCTGTATCTGAAATTAATGCAGTGGATGAACTGAACAGAATAGAGACAACAGAGAAAAGAAATACAGAGAACTTGAAGATAGAGCAAGAGAAATTACCCAACCCAAACTTTAACAAATAGAAAAAAGACAGAGGGAAAAATAAACTCAGAGACCTATGGGACTAAAACAAAATACATAACATTCGTATAATCAGAGACCCAGATGAAGAGAAGTTACAGCATGAGGTTAAAAAAGTATTTGAAAAAATAATCTCTAAAATTTTCACAAATATGGCAAGACATAATAAACCTACACATTAAAGAAGCTCAGTGAACTCATATAGCATTTTAAACCCAAAGAAATCCATGCCATGTTTTGCCATGCATAGTCAAACAGCTGAAAACTGAAGAAAAAGAAAAAAACATTAAAAGTAGTAAAAAAAAATGACACATTATGTACAGGGGAAAAGCAATTTAAATGATACCCAAATGCCATCAGAAACCATGGAGGCCAGAAGGAAGCAGAACATTTTTCAACTGATGAAAGAAAAGAACTAAACCCGGAATTCTATATGCAGCAAAATTATCCTTCAAGAACGTAAGGGAAATCAAGACATTTACAGATGAAGGAAAACTAAGAGAATTTGTTGCTGTCAACATACCCTGAAACTCCAAACAGAAAAAATGGTAAAAGAAGGAATCTTGGAACACCAGGAAGGAAGAAAAAAAAAATACAAGAGTAAAAATATGGGTACATACGGGAACTTCCGGTCAAGATGGTGGAATAGACGGTCCCCAGCATCACCCTCTCCCACAATCAACCAATTTACAACTACTACAAAGCAACAACAACCAACCCGGGACCACTAGAGCTCAGGGGAAGAGGAGGAGAGAGCTACGGAGTTCATTAAGGCAGGGGAAGACACAATGGGAGAAGGAGGGGACTGCTCCGACCATTTCGAGTCTGGGCAGCTTTCAAGGGTGGCCCTGGTGAGCACACAGAGCAAAAGCTGGCAAAAGCCACAGCTGTGCCCTTCATATAAAGTTGCTTAGAGGCTGCAGGGGAGAAGAGGGCTTTGGTGGCCCCCAGGCCAGCAAGACAACTAACAGGGTCCTGTGGACCCACACAGGAGCAAGAGGCCACAGATAACTGAAAAGAAGAGCCACTCAAAGGTCAGTGAGTCACTGCAAGGGACTGGTGCATGGTCCATCCCATGGGAAGTGATTGGAGTATGGGCAGTGGGGGAGATGGGCCCACTGGGGGAACACTGGGGCACAGCATGGACAGCTGATCTGCCCTCCAATCAGCACAGGCCACTCAGTGGAGACTGGTCAAGAACATAGAACTGCAGAGGGTGCAGTTTGCTGAAAAGACTTAGGCCCAGACCAGAGTTTGCAGACAACCCAGGTGTACCAGACCCCAGAAGTGTTTACAAGGTCAACAATTAAAACCCAAGCTGCACAAAAAGCCTTCCCCAGAGAATCAGCAGCAAAGCAGCAATCTCGCTCAAATACAGAGCTCAAAAGCTGGTTCCCTGAGGAAGTTCCCCCATTTTAGAAGTAACCAAAGGACAACAAATAGTTCCAGTGCAGAGTTTAAGTGGTGGAAAGAACAAACAATCCAACACAGAACTGAAAGAAAAAAACAAAACACTCACAGATCAGGGACAAAGTTTTGATATTAACCAGTAAATATCTAACACCACCAAAGAAACTTGTAAACCTAGAAGGACCTGAAGCTCCCTGGGTTCCCAAGTCGGGGAGGGTGGAAGGCCATGGGCCTCAGCCACACACCTCTGACAACTGCATCCAGCCCAACAACGACCACCAGGCCATAGCTAGAAGTGACCTAAACTCTGGAGCTGGGGCAATGAGGGGCTGAGGGCCTCAGCAACAACCCCCACTGACATCTTCACCCATCCCAGTGACAACCACTGAGCCACTGCCAGAAGCATCCTAGGCTCCTAAGCAGGGGCAGTGGGGGGCTGAGGTGTGGCTGAGGCCCCCCAATGGCTGCACTCAGTCCAGTGATGACCACTGAGCTGCCACCAAAGTGCCCCAAGCTCCTGAGCCAGAGCAGTGGGGATCAAAAGCCTCAGCCACACTCACCTGATGTTTGCACCCAGCCCAGTGACAACCACCAAACAGCTGCTGGAAATGCCCTGGGCTCCCTAGCCAGGGTGGTAGGGGGCCGAGGGCCTCAGCCACACCCCCCACCCCACCAACATCCACATCCAGCCCAGCAACAACTGAGCCACCACCAGAAGCCCCGTTCTCCCCTGCTGGAATGAGGGGGGTGCCACAGGCCTCAACCACAACCCCCTCCTTTCTCCTCCTTCCAGCCTATCTCCCTTCCCTTTTCCCTTTCCTCCTCCCCACCAACTGCTCTACAACATCTTCCAATGTAAAAAAATAATTTAAAAAAATGGGTAAATACAATAGAATTTCCTTCTCTTGAGTTTTCTAAATTATGTTTGACAGTTGAAGCAAAAATTTTAACACTGTGTGATGGGGTTCTCAATGTACTCAGAGGAAATACTTAAGAAAAATACATGGGAAAATATAAGAAATGGGAAAATGTAAGAAAAATGGGAATGGTAAAGGGACGTAAACAGAGGTAAGGTTTTAACCCTTCCCTCAAACTGGTAAACACCTGTAGACTGTGATATGCTGTGTATGTATAATGTAACAACTAGAGCAATTAGTAAAAAATATAACAAGAGAAAATAAAAAACAACTAGAACAACCATTAAAAAACCTATATGAAAGCTGAACCTAAAAATTCATAGAAAAAAAATCAAGGGAGCCAGAATAGCCAAAATTATCTTGAAAATGAAAAACAAAGTCGAAGGGCTGACACTTCCTAATTTCCATACTTACTAAAAATGTACAGTAATTGAGACAGTAGGATACTTTCATAAGGACAGACATGTAGATCAAATGGAACAGAATTCATGGTCAAGAAATAAACCCATAATCTATGGTCAATTGATTTTTTGACAAATTCAATAAGGAAAGAATAGTTTTTTGTTTTTTTTTTTCCTTTTTGTCTTTTTTACTGACCGGTAACGGGATCGCAACCCTCGGTGTCGCGCCCTGTACCGGGGACTGGCAACGGGATCGCAACCCTCGGTGTTGTGCCCGCACCGTGCTCAGCCAATGAGCGGGAACCGGTCTCCACATGGGATCTGAACCCTCGGCGGGAGCGCCGCCGCGCTCCCAAGCAGCGCACTCTCCAGTGCACCACCGGGCCAGCCCGAAAGAATAGTTTTTTCAAATGATTCTGAGACAACTGGATATCTACATACAAAAGAATAAAATTGAACCTTTACCTCACACCATATACAAAAAAAACCTCAAAATGGATGAAAGATCTAAATGTAGAAACAAAAACTAAGACACTTAGAAGAAAACATAGGCATAAATCTACATAACCTTGAATTAGGCAACAGTCTCTTAGAAATCAAAAGCATAAGCAAACAGAAAAAATAGAAATTTGACATCAAAATTCATAACTTTTGTGCTTCATAGCACACTATCAAGAAAGTGAAAAGACAACCCTAAGAATGAGAGAAAACTGCAAATCATATATCTGATAAAGGTCCAGCATCCAAAATATACAGAGAATTCTTACAACTCAACAATAAAAAGACAACCTAATTAAAGAGTGGTAAAAGAATTTAAATAGACATTTCTCCAAAAAAGATATATATATCTTTTTTTTTTCCCCCAAGAAATTAGAACCCTCATACATTGCTATTGGGAATGTAAATTAGTACATGCAGCTGCTTTGGAAACAGTTTGGCAAAAAATTCAAATAGAGTTACCCCATAATCCAGCAATTTCCCTACTAGGTATATACCCAAGAGAACCTTAAATATGTATAACATACATGAATATTCATATCAGCATTATCCATAATAGCCAAAAAGTGGAAACAACTTAAATGCCTATCAACTGATGAATGGATAAACAAAATATGGTATTCCACACAATGGAATATTATCCAGTCATTAAAAAGAACATAGTACTGATAAATGCTATAACATGGATGAACCTTGAAAACATTACGCTGAGTGAAAGAAGACATAAAGGACAACATATTACATGATTCCATGTATATGAAATATTCAGAAGAGGCAAATCCATATATAAAGGAAGTACTGCTAATGAATATGTGGTTTCTTTTTAAGGTGGTGAACATTTTCTGGTATTAGATAGTAGTTGTACAACTTTGTAAATATACTAAAAACAACTGAATTGTGTGACATAGCTAAATCAGTTCTGAGAGTGAAATTTAAAGTGTTAAATGCTTACATTAGAAAAGAGGGAAAGTCAGAAATCAATAATCTTAGCTTCCATCCCAAGACTAAGAGAAAAGGAGAGCAAAACGAACCCAAAGCAAGCAAAAGCAAGGAAAAATAAAAATAAAAAAAGTAATCAATAAAATTGAAAACAGAAAGACATCAGAGAAAAATCAATGAAACACAAAATGTTTCTTTAAAAAAACTGATAAAATCAACCAACCTCCAGCAAGACTGACATAAATAAGAGAGGGCACAAATAGCAGGAATAAAACAGAGGATATCACTAGAGACCCAGAGGACATCAAAAGAATAATAAGGAAATACTATAAGAGAACTTCAAAATGTTCACAGAAAGCTTTGTGTTATCTTTCAATTCTATTATTCCATGAACTTTTTGAGGCACCCTTGTATGAACAACTCTACAAACATAAATTTGACAATGTGGATGAAATAGGCCAATTCCTTGAAAAGCAGACTACCATAACTCATCCAATATGAAACAGATAGTTTGAATAGCCTTATAAAGATCAAGGAAATTGAAAAAGTAATCTCCAGGTCCATGTGATTTCACGAGAGAATTCTACCAAACATTTCAAGAAAAGTTAACACTAATTTTGATTAAAGAAGTCAAAGAAAATCTAAATAAATGAAGGGACATACTATGCTCATCAAAGAATCAAGTAAAAATGCTGAGGGACTTTTTCAAAATAAATATACTCAGACCCCATCCCACACCTAAGAATTCATAATTCTAGGGGTGAAGCTCACCCAGTAATGTACTGTTTAGGGAAAAAAGTCCCACCCCCACCTCAGGTCATTCTGATTTACAGCCTAGAATACCAGACTCCCAGTCACTATCCCCAGAATCATGGAGCTGAGAGTCCTGTTCTCTGTCTACCAAGCTGACATCAACCCAGTGCAAAGGAGTCCACCAGCCTCCCTTTGGACACCACCACCTGCAGCCTCCCCAAGGAACATGCTGCGTACTCACAACCACATGAATTTTCTTAATGCCCAATTCTTAGCCTTCAGGTGATATGAGAGAGATAAGATAGCCCACATAATCAGATTAATACATTATGGGAAGGGGTTGGCTGTGGTGCCACAAGCTCTCTTCTTTCCACCCTCCCCAAACCCTCCCAGAGGGGCCCAGGGAAGACCTGTAGGAATGAAAAGTGTCTGTCCTTGTTTCACAGAACACTTGTAGCATTTGTCCACTTGGTCCCCAAAGAACATCTCATTCTGATTAGAGGAACTGCTCCAGCACTCAAAGAGAGTCAGATTGGCATTTGTTGGGCGGATCAGGTAGAATATCTTCTCACCCTGAAATAGAAAGAGGTTGAAGTGCCAAAAATACCAAGGGTCCTTCAGGGGCACTCCAAAGGGCTGTTCTCTCTCCTATGCTCCCAGACCATGGCAAAGTTCTTTCCCAAACCCGTTCAAAAATCTTTTGTGTGTGGATTTAGAAAACTTCAAAAGATTCTTTTGGCCTCTGCACTTTTAAGTTTCTATAAATTTGACAAAAACAATTTGGAAAGGGCATTTCAAACAAAATTGTTCAAGTCAGGACAAATGTACACCAAGTGCTCCTACTTTAGATGCAATGTCAAATGAAAAATGGCTTCTATAGATGAGTAGATCAATACTACTAGCCCTAGGAGAATTTAAGGCCACATTACTGATGAAAAGAAAATTTAATTTGCTTTTAAATATCATTTACAGAGTGTTCCTTCTCACACCTGCAATCAAAGCCAATAAAAGTTTACAAGTTCAATAACTGCCCAAGGATTTCTGGAAGATTACATGCTAGGTGATTATCTGCTGGAAAAACATTTTATTTCCTAATTGTGTTTTTCCTGGATAATAACCAGATATATAACTTGGCAAAAAAGGAACAAAAATCCACTAACACAAAGATATCCCCACAGCTTGACTGGTTCAATCAACATTTCACAATGATAAATTTCAATGAAGAAAAGCAACAACACTAGAAATATCTATTGTACAAATGGAGAAATTTGAATCAGAACTGTAGATTTGTTAGTAGTATTTCAATGTTAATTTCCTGACTTTGATAACTACATTGTGACTATAAGAGAACACCTTTGTTTTTAAGAACTACACACTGAATTATCAAGAGATAAAAGGACACATGTCTGCAACTATTCTCAAATGTCTCAGAAACCAAAAAATACCCATTTTATTATGTTTGCTTTAGAGAAAGAGAGAATATAATAAAATGATAACATTTGGGGAATCTGGTTGGGACACAGGAATTCTCCCCATTATTTTTGCAACTTTTCTATAAAAATAAAATTATTTAAAAATTAAAAAGTTAAATCTAACATTTGCATAACAGTACTTTCATATACATGGTCCAATTTCTTCATGATAAACCAAACAACTAGCTGAGGATTTGTGATCACTCGGACAAGAACCATAATTCAAGTTTTTGGCTCTTTCCTTGGCATTTCCAATAAGAAAACTAAATAGTGAACAACGGTGAAAAAGAATTAAAATTCTTTAAGAAATTTGTTTTCCAGACCTCAAAAATCCTTTACAGTCATTGGTAATTAATATGCTAATTACAAACCTGTAACAACCACTAAAAAGGAAATTGTCTATAGGAATTATGACTTTAAAAAGACTTCTCATATACGTATGTTCTATCTTGACTGTGGTGGCATTTAACTGACTACGCAATTGTCAAAACTCAAACTATACACTTAAAATGGTTGAATTTTATAGTATATAAACTATACCTCAATAAAGTTGGGGGGAGGGGAAGTTTCTCATGTTACAAAGAATTTTTGAAGTACTATGGATATTTCCATACATGTTGATAGGAGTATAAATTGGTTCAATTAGAAAGTAAAGTAACAGTTGGGAAAATCCCAGGTATCTGCTATAATTCAAAACTTTTTTTTTTTTTTTTTTTTAAGACGACTGGTAAGGGGATCTTAACCCTTCCCTTGGTGGTGTCAGCACCACGCTCTCTGAAGTGAGCGAACCAGCCATCTTTATATAGGGATCCAAACCCATGACCTTGGTGTTATCAGCACCACACTTTCCCAAGTGAGCCGCAGGCTGGCCCTCAAAACACTTTTGGATTAAGCATCAAAACTGTAGAGACAGGCCATCATCAGTGTATATGGTATGCCACATCCACCAAGTACTCAATCAACTCTGATAGAGGAGTTATGTGGAAATTTCAAACCAAATGTCATAACAAAAGAGAATCTGGGAGACAGGTGGGTCTCAGTAGCCTGTTTTGTGCTGACAGCTGACACAAACAGGAAGACCCAAGGCCTGGCTGCCTCCAGAAGCTATATGCCTTCCTACCTTGAGCACATGGTACCAGACCGAGGTGCCGCCAAAGTCAATGTGAAAGTCTGTATAGCTATCCCGCACGCTCATGAGGCAGTACTTCTGCACATTGGGTCTCTCAAAGACACACTCCTCCGGCCACAAGTTCTCGACCCATGACAGCTTTCGAACAATCTTGGGTGTCTCTACCAGATTAGAAAGCCTAACAAAGAAGGGGTAGACAGCAGATATCAGCTGATTGGGAATTGAAGGTTGAAGCCTGAATAAAATACCCCACATCTCTGTAAAGGTCAGATTAGACAGAGAACAAGTTCTTTCCATAGAATCGCCAAGGCACATAAGATACGTTTTTTAAAAAAATTTTAATTTATCAATATACAATGTAGTTAATTTTCTTGTCCCTTTACCAATTCCTCTTTCTCCAGCTCCCTCTCCCCTGTCCCCTAAGATACTTATTTCCATAAATCTGGTAAACATTCTCATTCCAACCAACTCCAGAAGTACCAGCTCCACAGCCTTCTTCATTGAAGGTGGTCATTTTTTCCATTAAATGTTTATACTCCCCCCCACCCCAGTCAACTCACTTGGCACTTGGTTTATAACTAGCCCCATCTCACAGTGTCTTCTTTAGGAGAAACCTTTAGAGAAACCTCTCAGGGCTCAGTTTTAGGTAAAGAAGTGTTTCTCAGAAACATCTGGTTGTTTTTATCCTACATAAAACCACAAATCTTACAACACTGCACTCCCCTCTTTGTTCTGACCTTCAGGAAATTCAGACTGTAGAGGAAACTCTACGGTCCATCTCTACCAACTATCAGACATTCATACACGCATTTTATATGTAGAGTACCCACCAGATGCATCCTATTTTCCCACCTTTATTTTCCGTTTGTTCCAATTTTCTTTTTTTCTCTGCATCTCTGTAAGCTACCTCAAATACTCTTTTAGGATGAAGTGAGGTATAAATAAATAAAGTTTCTTAAACACACTCAGTTTGTTTAGCCTTGTATCAAAAACAACACCAAGGGTTTTAATAGTGTACTATAATTATATAGGATGTTACCATTAGGGAAACTGGCTAAAGAGTACACAGGACCTCCTTGTACATCTTTTTGCAACTTCCTGTGAATCTATAATTATGACAAAACTAAAAGCTAAAAGTAAAAAATCAGACAGTAAACTTAAGGGCAAAAAGATACGTTATGATTTCTTGGTATTTCTCACAGTTCTGAGTACAGAGAAGATCGTATATACATATATACAGAGAGAGAGAGTACATCAGTCCAGATAGATCATTTAGAAGTTATAATATAGCTATTTTTTCTTTTTAAATCAAAGAAACCTCACAAAGAATGACTGTTTTATAATGATGAATATGCTAATTATCCTGATTTGATAATTATATATTGTATACAGGTATTGATATTCAACTCTGTACCACACAGACATGTACAAACAATTGTTTCAATTAAAAAAAAAAAGAAATACAAAAAAAATTTTTTTTAAAGTGAATCTCAGAAATCCTTTCCTTTTGTTTTTGGTTTTTGGTGACTGGCTGGTATGGGGATCTGAACCTGTGACCTTGGTATTACCAGCACTATACTCTCCCAAGTGATAAGAAACCTTATCCTTACAGAAACTACTTGGGAGTAATTTCAATAAATCTATTTTTAGGGACAGAAGACTTATCCTATCAGTCAGACAGTAACCATGCCACAATCTAAATACGAGAAAAAGGTCAAACAAAGCTGTCCTGGACTTGAAGGAGACAAAAATTAATTAAAATAACTACTGTGTAATTTATCCAATGCTAGAAACTGTGGAGGAGAAATATGACTTGGTTGTTATAATGTGAGCAGCTACCCTAGAAAGTATAACCCAGCTCCCCATCTCTAAGGAAGAAACCACCAGGAGGAAGGGAAAGGAATATGAATATATACTCAGTATATCACAAGTTCCACGCTCTTTTTTAGGCTTTTTTGTTACCTCTACCCCTCCTACCTGGTATCAGAGAATTCCAAACTAATGACATTGAGGACTTTCTCCCTCTTCCCACTGTAATAGTATTTCACAAAATCACCGAGCTTCATCTTGCAGTCAGCCTGGCGGGTCACATCAATCACATCAATCTCTTTGTCAGAACCTGGAATAAAGAGATGGGTTCTGCACCAAGTGGTCTCAGGGACTGGGGAAGCCTCTCTGGTACCTCCACCAGTCCCTAGAATGGACTTACACTCAAAGCTTCTTTCCTCAGACACTGTATGTATATATGTATACGTGTGTGTGTGTGTGTGTGTGTGTTTGGGGATGGGTGTAGGAACCCATCACACTCTCCTTAGACCTACGTGCTAGATCCAGGACTGGTAGGGCTATGGAACTACCTGGCATACAGCCTCACACATAGTATAGCCCACCTGTCTGAACCCTGTTTCCTCACTTTTTCTCCTCTTTACTCCAAAACCACATGCCCAGAAGACAAATGGCATGTGAAAACAAGAGTCAAAGGCTTTCTCATATCAACAGAGGACAGAAAGACCAAGATCCCTAGAATTCCCCAGGTAACAAAATGGGGCTCAACCTAGGGGTTGTGTTTAAGAGGAGAAGGAAGAGGAGACAAGGATTTTGGCTCTAGTTTTGCCAAAGAATGATTTTGGGCAAGGCACTTTACCTCAGACTCCCAAGACAGCTAAAAAGGAAATGCAAAAGGTAGATAGGAAGGGAAGGGACACAGGTCTTGACAGGAATAAACAATGTCATAGTTAAAAGGGTCTATGGTATCTTACCAACATAGTGTTCCACATCCCTCACAGTGAATGATGGCGAGGGCAGCGTCATCCCCAATCCGTCCTTCTTCAAGACCAGGATGGGCACACTGAAGCTATTCTCTTCCAGGAATTCCACAGTCAGCTGACTTCCAGTGGGCTTCAGAATCACTTCATCTGAGCTGCAGACCACAGGAGAGAAAGCTTGAGCCCAAGGCCCTGCCCACTAAAAGACTCACTGGACACTGCCACTCACTCAAGGGGTGGGGTCTTCCTCAGGGGACCAAATGTGGGCTGGCAACTAATGGCATAAACCTCATATGCTGGGGAAGAAATGACCTGTCCAAGGCAAGAGACCAGGTCAATGGCAAAAGTGGGGAATATCTGTCAGTAGGGTGCTCTTCTACAGATGACAAAGGAAGAAATCATTCAACAGCCTGCCCAGGAAGAAAAGATATATCTGACAAGTTTAGCTGATTTGTTCTGACTTAGAACAGCATCATCCAATTTAAAACACTGGCATAAAGGGAAAAGACTGATTAAAAAAAAAAAACAACAATTTTTACAACCACTCTCTCAACACACATACTTAACTAGAAAACAGGAGCTTTAAGAAAAAATGATGCTGGAGAAAAGAGACTACTTGACAAGTTTTGCTGAGACAAACATTAAGCTCAATGTCTATCTCACTCTTAATTCTAGATGGTCCAGAGATTAAATTGCAAAAAATAAAGCCGTAAGAGTACTAGAAAAAACATGGGACAAGGCCAAGTAGTAATTAAAAACAGTAATAAACAAATTTACATAAAAATTAAAATTTTTTGCACAGAAAGCTGTTATAAATCAGTAAGAAAATAGTAACATAATAGAAAAACTGTCAGCACAAGGAAGCAGTTCACAGAGAAAGAAATAAAGATGGCTTATAAATGTACAAAAATCTACTCACCTCCATCATAATTAAAGAAATGCAAACAACAAGATTTCATTGTTTATCTTATCAAAAGGGCAAAAAAAGTTTGACAATGAACAATGTTGGCTAGGATATAGGGAAATCTGTACCCTTGCACATTGTCTGTGAGAGTGTGAAATAGTACAGCCGCTTTGGAAACAATTGGCAATATTTACAAATATTTTTAAAGCACATAATATTCTTTGACCTAATAATTTCACTTTTAGACAGTAAATCTACACACATACTCAACACATATGCAAAAATTTAAGTACAAAGATATTCAGTGGAGCATTTTTTTTCTAATAGCAAAATATTGGAATCGAATGTTCATCAATAGAGGACTGGTTAAATAAATTGTAAATACATACAATATAATACTAAATAGCCATAAAAAAGAATGAGGAACATTTGTATGTACTGTTATGGATTGATCTCCAAGATATAAAGTTCAGGTTGTTTTTTTTTTTTAAAAACCAAGATGCAGAACAATATAGCATTTCCATTTGTGTCAAAAAAGAAAAAGAAAAAGAAGGATATACAAATACATGTGTGTTGATTATGCAAAAACTATTTCTGAAAGAATGCACAAGAAATTGGTTGACTTTAAAGAAGGGACCTGAGGGGTCTGGAGTAGAGAGGAGATTCACTGCCTTTAAATAAACAAATTAAACAAAAAATATTTTGAAGAAACAATTATTCCTAAGAATATTCCAGTTACAGAAAGCTAAAAACGGTCCAGTGAATTAAAAACCAAGCAAGAGAGAGTGCTTTATTCATTAATTTTTAACTCATTAGTTTTGCTCAATTGAAGATTAATAAGCTCAGCTTAATAGAAAAAACTCTGATTGTAAAAGAAATACATGACTACTAAAAAAATTTTTAGGGGGAGGTGGCCAGTTAGCTCAGTTGGTTAGAGCACGAAGTCGTAACACCAAGGTCAAGGGTTCAGATCCCCGAGCTGCCCAGCCACCAGAAAAAAAAAAAAAAATTTTTTTTTAAAAAAGAGTTTTCTGGGCCGGCCCGGTGGCGCCCTGCTACAGTGCGCCGCTTGGGAGCACGGTGGCGCTCCCGCCGAGGGTTCGGATCCCACGTACAGACCGGCCACTCACTGGCTGAGCGAGGTGCGGGGGCAACGCCAAGGGTTGCGATCCCGTTGCCGGTCCCGGCCCGGTACGGGCGCGACACTGAGGGTTGCGATCGTTGCCAGTCACGAAAAAAGACAAAAAAAGGAAAAAAAAATAAAAATAAAAAATAAAAAAGAGTTTTCTCTTCTCTACAATGAGAGAATTAAACTTTCTGATCTTTAAGACTCCTTCTAGTTCTAGTACTTCTTGGGTCCACGTAAGTATCCTCTGCAGACTTAGCTAAATATTGTCTCCCAACCACCAAAAATTTCTACAAGTGGACCTTAATGTACTCTGTACATCAAATGAAACTCTACCTACTGTTTCTCAGAAACTGACCAAAACAGAAGTTCCCTCCACAGAGGGAACTCGCAGAGCCCTGAACATCCACAAAAAGCCTCAGTATGTTGGTAAGCTGCGAAGAGATGGGTCCCAGTCTCCCAGAGCCCTGGTGTTCACCAGCCCTTCAGCCAGGGGTCCTCACCTGTCGAAAGTCCTACTCCGGAGCTCTCGAATGAATGTAGGACTCCCAGTCTTCACTGGCTTCACCTTGTGTGCATCATGCCCTTTTGAAGATCCACGGCGTTTTTTCACTAAGCCACAAAAAGACATGAGATTGTAAGAATGGCCATAAGCTATGATTCCAAGAGCAAATGCCTCAGCAGATCCTTCTCCTCTACCAATCCAACAACCCTTTGGAGTACCTGCAGTCAATGAGGCACTCACAGACTCAAGAAAGTTCCCAACGAAGATGGGTGCATCCTCTAGGAAATCCCTAGGAAGGGAGGGAGGTGAAGCTATGTACTTCTACCCTCAGCTGCTGGTCTGCACAGGCTTCTGATATTTCCTAATAAAGATGAATCTGAAGCACTCAGGCAAAGGCAATTGCCCTCCCAAGCTTCCTTTCTTTTGTCTCTCCTCTGGGCTATTTTCTCTTGGAAACCCTAAGATCTACTTACTAATGGAGGGCCCATGTAAGACCTCGCAGTTGGGGCAGTGGTAGAGGTCAATGTCAGCAGCCTTCTCCTCTTCAACACCAACACAACTGGAAAAGAGAAAACCAGCCAAGAGTAATGGGAATTTTATGTTTTATAAGGCCTAGAATAGTGCTGTCCAGTACAGGTACATGTGGCTATTTACATTTAAATTCATTAAAATTAAGTAAAATTTAAAATACAGTTCCTTCATCACACTATCTACATTTCAAGTGCTCAGTAGCCACATGTGGTTAATGGTTATCATATTGGGCAAATTATAATACATTTTCATCAATGCAAAAATTCTAATGGACTACACTAGTCTAAAACAATTATGACAGAATGAAAAATGTACACAGAGTAAAGATTCATTAAGCCTCAGAATGGTCAAAGCTGGGAGAGACTCTAGAGCAGCACTGTCCAATAGAAATGTAATGTGAGCCAAATGTAATTTTAGATGTTCTAGCAGTCACATTAAAAAGGTAAAAAGAAAGAGGTGAAATTAATTTTAACAATATTTTATTTAACCCATATACACAAAACATTATTTCAACATATAGCCCAAATTTTAAACTTTGTGATACTTTATTAAATGAAAGGGATTAAAAAGCATATTTTATAGTCAACAACTGATCTGAGTGAAGGACTACAGGTAGTCATTTTTCTTTTCCTTATCTGTATTTTCTAATTTTCTACAATGAACATATGTTATTTCATATTTTAAAGTCTAAAAAAGATTTATTTAATTTTGAAAATTTGACTTTGCATGTATGTGAGATGGTGCTATGGGTTAAATGCATCCCCCAGAAGTTCATGTAATGGAAACCTAACACATTGTTAACAGCCTTTTAAGAGGGTAGGAAATCCAATTATGGTACTTGAAAGGTAGAGCCTTTGAGAGGTGACTGGATCATGAGGACTGTGCCCTTATGGATGGATTAACACATTCATGGAGTAATGAGTTATCATAGGCGTGGTTCTGATGGCTTTATAAAGAGAGTGAGTGAAAAATAAAAAGTAAAAAAAAATAAAAAAATAAAATAAATAAATAGATATATTCAAGCAAAATATGTACATTAAATCATATTTAAGTGGTCTACAATGATTTCTACTAAAGTAATCTTTATCAATTAAGTAAAAATGTTTTGATATATTAAAAAAAAAGAGAGAGTGAGTGAGTGAGAAGATTAGCTGGCTTGCTCCTGCCATTCCTTGCCATGTGACAATCTGCAACGCTGCAGAGTCATCACTAAGAAGGCCTTCACCAATGTGTTCCCTAGACCTGGGACTTCCTAGCCTCCAAAACTGTAAGAAATAAATTTCATTTTCTTTCAAAATTACCTGGTTTCAGGTATTCTGTTATAAGTAACAAAAAAGGACTAATACATATGGTAATCTCACAAAATTAAACCTGTCCCTCACCAGGGAAAGCACCAGCAGTGCTCCAAATAACTTCTGGCTAAGATTAACCTCCTAAAACCTTTGATTGGCCACACACAGCAGGAAGCACAAAAATAGGGCAGAGCTCAAATAGTTTCAGCCAAGATCATGCTCGTAAACTGACTTCCTGGGATCAGGACCCCATCACCCCACCATCTTCCCGACTAATAATCCTATACCTGTAAACCTATAGCATATCAATAAATGGGGGCTATCACCAACAACTTTGTAGGGACTTCTTTAAGGACTCAATCAGATCATGCATTTAAAGTACGTAGCACAGTGAACACAGTCTGGTACACAGTAAGTAATCAATAAGTGATAACCAATATTATTTCTTTTACCTATTCAAACCCTCACCCTTCACCTGCCTAAACCTTCTTTAAATACATTCCCCAGACCTTGTAGCATTAACTCACGTCCCTGGACTGCATGCTCTACCTCATACCCCTGTTACCCTTGGACACTGCTCATGAAGGAAGCCCCTCCAGTCATCTTTTTCTCCTGAAATTTCATCCCATATGGCTATGTGCTTTCTCTACACCAAACACCCACTGCTCAACTCCCTTCCTAACTTGTCTGTAGTACCTCAGCAATCCCATCTGTTGGTAAACAAACAGTTCTACAATTGTATCCCATTCAACAAACCCTCCTTCACCTTTCTGGCTTAACTGAATGCAGCTTCTCCTACAAGAAAACCAAAACCTGGTAGCCACTGACTTACCTCTCACTTTCTCCCTCCACTATACCCTGAAGTAGGCATTCTAGCATCCAATTAAGAACTCAGACTTTAAGACCAGACTGTCTCGGTTTCCAACCTGGCTATGCCACTTACTACCTGTGGGATCTTGGGCAAGTTACTTAACCTCTCTGGACGTCAGTTTCCTCATCTGTAAAATGGGAATAAAAACTGTACCTACTTCAGAAGATTGTTATCGAAAGTAAATGAATTAATTTATATAAAGTGTTTAGAACAATGCTTGGCACGTAGTAAGTGCTCCACATATGTTTGCTATTATTAATCCATGTCCTATCAATTCTATCTCCTAATTAGCTTTCAGTTGTGCCCTTCTGTCATCCTACCTGCCCCTGCCCTAATCCAGGCCACTATCATTTCTAACTGGGATTATTGTCCTACCCTCCTAACTGGGCTCCTGGACTCTACTCTGTCCCCACCCAACTGGTCCACCACACTACAGCCAAAGCGATCATTTAAAAACACTAATTTAGGGCCGAGCCCGTGGCGCACTCAGGAGAGTGCAGCGCCGGGAGCGCAGCAGCGCCCCCGCCGCGGGTTCGGATCCTATATAGGGATGACCGGTGCGCTCACAGCGCTCACTGGCTGAGCGTGGTGCGGCCGGTCTCAAAAAGGACAAAAATAAATAAATAAATAAATAATAATAAAAACACTAATTTGATCTTGTCAACCCATGCTTAAAACCCCTCACAGGCTTCTTGTTTTTCTTAAGGTAAAGTATAAACTTATTATGGGCTCACCTCTTGCCCCTCACACACAGTGTCAGCTACATAACTTGTGGGACCTAGTGCAAATGAAAAGCAGGAGATTCTTGTTCAAAAAACAGAAAAAAAAACTTTTCCCTTTCTTCCATGGTCTCTCCCCACCAGGTGACTCAGCATACAGTGTGCATACACACTTGACCTGATTTTCTCCACACTTGCACCTGGGTCCAGAGCCCCAGGCAGCCAGCCAAGAACCTGTTTAGGGAGGCAGGAGAAGGTAAGGACCACACATGAGCCAAGGCTCTAAGACCATAGCACACACTCCATTGTCCCATCACATTCAGAACACAAAGGTAAAATTATATAGAATTTCAAGACAATCGCAGAGCATTTTAAATTTCAAGAACGTGGCCCCATGTGACTACAGTGATTGCACACCCACAAAGCTGACCATGCTCTAAAAAGCCAGCTGGACCTGAGTGCCATGCTGTTTCTGGCATCCCAGCTTCATCACATGTGGCTCCTTCTGCCGTGGCTCCATTCGCACCACTACACACACCATTCCTATTTCAGCTCTCACCACGCTGACTTACAACTGCCCGTTTACTTACTGTCTCCCACCACTATCAAAAGTCCTCACTTTCTCTATCTCCCAGTCTTGCTTTACTTATTATTCCACCCAATTCAACAAACGTTCATTGTGCTAGATTAACACCTCACATCAGGGAGGTAGATAAATGAAAATCAGACTTCTGGTTGCACTGTGTCGATAATTATCAACTGGGACCAAGGGTGGTAAATGATGTTTTCCTCTGGGTGGCTTCCTTAGTGAAGACGACAATCATCACAGCACCAGGTCTCAAGATTAAGATGAATTATCCACAATGTGAACCACAGAGCCTAGCACATGGTAGGTGGGCACTTAATTAATATTTGTTAAGTAAAGAAATACATAAATTCAACAAATATTTATTGAGCAGATACTGCCCTCATGAAGTTGACATTCCAGAGGGGGAGACAGGCGGTGCCAGAAAGTTTTGTAAGTGCTACAAAGTAAATAAAGCAGAGTAACAGAATGGTAGGTAAATGAGTGAATTAGAAGCATACATAATAGGAACTGAGAAGAAAACTGAGCTATGAATTTTGCATATATTATTATATTTAATCTCCACAACAAATCAGGGCATTCTGTACCATATTAAGAGACACTACAACACAGAGGTTAAAAGTACAGATTTGGGAGCTGAAGCAGCTGCTAAGGTGAGCTAAGGCTCGCGTGGCACTCAGGGCTTAGTCTAAGGCCCGGAGGGGAAGGAAGCACCCACAGTCAGAGCAGCTGCCCAGGTGAGCAGAGACCTGCATGGCACCAGGGCTCAATCTTAGGCCCTGGAGGGAAGCGCCCACAGCTACAGCAGCCACAGAGTTGAGCAGAGACCTGCATGGCACGGGGCTCAGTCTTAGGCCCTAGAGAGAAATGCCCACAGCAGCAGCAGCTGCCAAGGTGAGCAGAGACC